GCGGTTGGAACCAAAGATCTCAAATTTGGACTCATCAGACCAAAGCACAGATTTCCACTGGTCTAATGTCCATTCCTTGTGTTTCTTGGCCCAAACAAATCTCTTCTGCTTGTTGCCTCTCCTTAGCAGTGGTTTCCTAGCAGCTCTTTGACCATGAAGGCCTGATTGGCGCAGTCTCCTCTTAACAGTTGTTCTAGAGATGGGTCTGCTGCTAGAACTCTGTGTGGCATTCATCTGGTCTCTGATCTGAGCTGCTGTTAACTTGCCATTTCTGAGGCTGGTGACTCGGATGAACTTATCCTCAGAAGCAGAGGTGACTCTTGGTCTTCCTTTCCTGGGTCGGTCCTCATGTGTGCCAGTTTCGTTGTAGCGCTTGATGGTTTTTGCGACTCCACTTGGGGACACATTTAAAGTTTTTGCAATTTTTCGGACTGACTGACCTTCATTTCTTAAAGTAATGATGGCCACTCGTTTTTCTTTAGTTAGCTGATTGGTTCTTGCCATAATATGAATTTTAACAGTTGTCCAATAGGGCTGTCGGCTGTGTATTAACCTGACTTCTGCACAACACAACTGATGGTCCCAACCCCATTGATAAAGCAAGAAATTCCACTAATTAACCCTGATAAGGCACACCTGTGAAGTGGAAACCATTTCAGGTGACTACCTCTTGAAGCTCATGGAGAGAATGCCAAGAGTGTGCAAAGCAGTAATCAGAGCAAAGGGTGGCTATTTTGAAGAAACTAGAATATAAAACATGTTTTCAGTTATTTCACCTTTTTTTGTTAAGTACATAACTCCACATGTGTTCATTCATAGTTTTGATGCCTTCAGTGAGAATCTACAATGTAAATAGTCATGAAAATAAAGAAAACGCATTGAATGAGAAGGTGTGTCCAAACTTTTGGCCTGTACTGTATATATATACATATATATATATATATATATATATTGTTCTGACCATTTTATTTATGTAGTCTGTAGGCTTGGTGACACAAAATTGAAATTGTAATGAAGTGATTAGGGTATTGAAAAATGTGTTCGGTTATGCACTGTTGTGTTATTTTAAATTATAAACACGGTATTTTCTCCTCACGTTCCTAGCATGCTGTTATTTTATTTTGAAAATTGGCCGGATTCTCTTGTCTTTTCTGTGTTAGACTTCCTGTTTGGTACGATCCGCTCTATCCAGCTTGACAGAAGCACTCGCGGCTCGCATGAAAAATAGACCAGACGCCAAACTGAAGCACTGCGGTGTATGGATGTCTGTTCATCTTTTCGTTCATGTCCTTATTAATGCACACTTTATAACTTGCTTGTTGGATTTATTAAAAACGAACGAATGAAAACTAAATGTCTTTGAATATCTTTATTATCATTTAAAAACGAAAATTAAAATGACTGGTAAAAATAGATTATGACCAGATTTTTATGACCCTGTCGGTCAAAATGACCGGCGACAAAAAAGTCTAGCACAACGTCTGATATGAAGTATATATATATTTTTTCAAAACTATTCACTATTCAACTATAATATTGGGAAGAACAAAAAACACAAGAAAATATTTTCATCACTCCTCCTACATCTCCAGACCAAGAGCACCACAGAAATCAGACATATCCACAGATAAAGCCATTCATGCTTTGTGATTTATAAAAAGACACCTCCAGTCAGACACCTCCAATGTACACTGGTGCATTCACTGGAGCTGAATGCACCACATTGACTCCTTTATTTGACTGTGTTGCTCGTGGAAGCCTGCTGTCCTACCTGGTTGCTACAGATTGATTTGCTGTTTGAGGGCTGGAAGGTGACGCATGGCTGCCCTCTGTGGATGAAAGACGCATCTGCTGTCAATGCCTCTAAAGTCCAGCATCCGTCAATCCTAAAGACATCTCTGGATTAGCTGGAAGAATGATGAACTCCACGGAGCTCCCACTGCACTGATAGACCCTGGCTCTTATGTAACATGTGTATCAGCTGCTCTCCTAAACCTACTCCACGCTCACTGCTCAAATGCATTCTTAAATGAATTTTTTTTTTCTCTTTCTGCATGCATGTGAGCTTTTTTAAAAAAACAACAGCAGTGTGCATTTTAAACATTGAAGATGAGTAAATTTAGTTGGCAGACGAGGCAACAAGAGCAAACTCATGGCGTATTTGGATGAAAAATAAGACTGATGTTGTAGCTCAATATTTCAGGAGAACTGCTTGATGGTAGTGAGAAAGTTTTCCAGCCTCTAACATGGGCAGGAAGCTTGTTGCAAACATTGCTTTATATAAACTACAAAAGCCGCAGCCTGTGGTGTTTGTTCTACTGCTCTGCATGAGCTTGTGGACAATTTTAGTTAGTACCTCCTCTTCTCCTCACAGTCTTTTTACTGCAGCTTTTAGGATATGTGAATCCCAAAAAGGCTATAGTCAGCCTTAGCAATCAGACATAATGTATCTGTGACATCCATCCTGTGGTCAGCTCTGCCAATCAAAAGGAGTGCACTGAGGGTCAATCCCAGCTCAGCGGACTCGCTCCAGCATGGTAGTGTGCCAGGGAAAAAAAAAGTGGATTAATGTCTACTGTCTGATTGGCAGCCATGATAAGTCAGATAACAAAACATACAATTCTAAATAGGATAAAATCAATAAAGTTCAGGCAATTTTAAGAAATCATCTCAGTGATTTCGGCTTTCACTGGCATTAGATTTGGATTATGTGCACTCAATTGTCTTACTGCTGCCCTCTTGGTCTTTCCTCTAGAGCCATCATCAAGCCAAAATTTAAATCTATACAAAACAAATATTCCAACATGCAAGTCAACATGGGGTTTACTGAGCACATTCATCCATTCTGGGTCCTCCACAACCCTTTCTCTAATAAAAACATCAGAACTACCACACATTTTGGAATTTGTTGGATGATCAAACTCAGGCGTGACAGCAGAACTGAAATTGTCAAATGATTTCAGCATATCACACAGACTGTTGACAGTTTACATATTAATAGGTAGGTATTCATAGGATGTCTGTTACATTGTGGGTATAAGCCTGTGGGAAAAATTCATCTGAAAGGGACATCTGTGAATCTCTGTATGCATCACTAGCAACTTTTATAGGAATGAACCAGGCCCCACCTCAAATGGTATATCCGGTTCTCTTTATACATCCATTAAACAAAAATAGGACTTTGACTCATAGACTGCTGTTCTTGTCCTGTGTAAGTCAATGTTGACTTATTTTAACTTGCATACATAAGTAACTTACTTAATGTACGTAACATATTTAACTGACATAGGCAATATACTTATTTTAACCCAAACCATGATGTTTTTCCTAAACCTAACCAAGAAGTTTTGGTGCTGTTTCACAAACTCAACCATGTGTTAGTGAGTATATGTGTCTGTTGCTGATGTTCTCTAACGGTCATTTTGGAAGTGATAACCTTTTTCTGTTATTTTGGTCTGAGGACAGGTTTTCTTTTTTACATAGCCTACTTTTTCCAGAGAACACTGACATGTTTTATTTTTTCAACTGGAAAATGTAACCCTTACGCCATATCTTGGTCACAGTTCTTTAATAAACAAAATTTTGTGTTTGTAGTTCTATATAAAGGAACAAATAAAAGCTTACGTCAAATTATTAGCCAAGCTCATGGTGTGGCTTTGTGTGTGGCTGTGCTGGTTTGTTGATCACTTGGGCCCAGACTGAAATACCTTTGATTGGAATGCCCTCAAATTTGTACATGTAGGCCTATTCATGGTCCCCAGAGGATGAATCCTACTGACTTTGGTGCACAGATTCACGTTCCCCTTAGGATGAATTATATTAACTTTGGTGACCCCCTGACTTCTTATCAAGCAACATAATCAGGTCAAAGTTTTTATGAATACTGATCTGTGAAACTAATGACACCCCCTTCAGCCTCAGCTGTACTTTGCGTCTAATGCTAAATGTTAGCATGCTAACACACTAAACTAATATGGTAAACATGTGCTGTGTCTCAAATCGTGTACTTTTGTACTTACACTTACTATTTTGACTGCAGAGGTGTGTTCACACTGAGAAGTATGGAAAAATGCAGTGCACTATGAGTACCCGGATGGTGCACTCAAAACGGTCAAAAAGTTGAGTGTGGAACTATGGACACTTCTCGCACTCAATGGTCGCCATCTTGGCTACGTAGCAGAAGGGGAGGGACCACTTCTCAAACTGGAAATAGCAGCCGAGGACTGTGCGACCTTGAACATTGCTGCACTGTACAAATTCACGTGTTTTTTGCTCTAAGCACCACTATACTGTTGTCAGATATAAGCCAGCAGTATGTTTGTTGGATTAATTTAGCAGTCTGTAATGATTTGGTACCACGAACAGTAACGCGAATGCTAATGCTAGTTTGCTAACTAGCTAATTTGCGGTCGTCATTTCCGGTGAGTGCACAACAGCGGTGTTTGGTTTGAGACAACACTACCCTGTCGAAATTTGCGCACAACGCCAATGAGTACATAGTGCACACAGTATACTACATGGAAGTGTACTAACGGAAGTATGTGATTTGAGACACACCAATGGTTACTATTACACCTGCTAAACATCTGCATGTTAGCATTTTCACAGTGAGCATGTTAGCATGCTGACATTAGCATTTAGTTAAAGCGCCACTATGCCTATGTACAGCCTCACAGAGCTGCTAGTGTGGTGGTAGACACATAATCTTGTGTAAATTCTCAAATACAGTTATCACTATCAGCTTGGCTCTGCTACAAACATCACAGTATAATCCTCTGTGTGTTGTTCACTGTACCACTCTTGCATTTTTGGGTGTAATAGATCACAGTCACTAAGGGCTGCTACATGTAGGCAGGTTTAAGATAGTTAGTCATGTTGGACTACCATCTGCAACAGAAGGCTCCCTCCCCAGGTACATCCTCATACAGATTGTGTTGTTTTGTTGTATTAGAGTTGGATACATACTGTCTGTTTGTCTCGGTGTGTCTAGCAGTTCTTACCTGCACTGTGCTGTCTCTCTGCCATAGGTTCACTCACGGGCTCAGCCCGCTAATCACAGCCTCCACGTCTCCCACTCCCACACCAACAGAAAGAGACGACCTGGAGAACACAGGATGACAGCACACCTTCAGCTCAGACATGCTCTGTCCCACAAAACAGGAGTCACACAGTCAGACATGCAGGTTATGACAAGTACCCTGCAGTACACTCAAAGCAACAAACCAGTGTTTTTACATGGTTTAGCACATTTATTTTATAGCTATTGATTTACAAAAATGCTGATCTCTTTTAAAAGTACACCAGTTATTAAGAATGAATAAAGGAATAGTTCATACCTAACTCCTGACTCCAGCTCTCATAACACAGACATGATATTGACATTGATATTGATCTTCTTACCTCACTCTCGTAAAGAAAGCAGATCAGCATATTTTTCCAAAAATGTTGATCTATTTCTTTCCGTGTGTTTTCTCAAGTTAGATAATCTATCAATACTACATGTCTGCTTTTATTATTGTCAAAGGGACTTTATTGTGGGGCAATGCATTGTGCAGATTGACTACTAAGGCATACCTTTCAAATCTTGACCTACTGTGTGTATGTGTACACTCAAATACTGTTTTATTCTAAAAGTACCTCCACAGTACATATACACATCCAACTACGTGCAGCCCCAAAGAGCTTGCGCAGCCTTTAAGTTTTTTTCTCTTGGGAGCGATACAATAGAAGTGTAATGGATTCAGGAGTTCCACATTTTCATAGTGGCATAGCATTTATTTAGGCAGATGCTATTAGCACCTGTGTGTCCAGCATTTGGTGTCTATTACCAACAATGCTATAATGCTATTTGTACCCGGGGTGTTAATATTCCTGGGCATTCTAGCAACATTAAAAAATTATGTTAGCATGAACGGCCATTCTGCTGTTTGAGGGCTATTCTGCTAAAGTTTATGTGGACTACACAGTGTGCTTTCAGCCAACACATTCTCACTCCAACCTCATCACATATTTATGTTTGGTCATGGACTTTCCACATCAACATGTGATGTGCTAGGTACCCTGGGTGCATTGGTTGTTGAAGTCCTGGGACGCTGTGTCAACATCTGCCTTTTACATGCATTGTCTGATTTCAAAATACACTTCTGTTCTCACAGGAAATGTACAGTTTGCATACAGTCTCTTTCAAATTAAATGCACAATGTGGGTACAAAACCATGAATTGACCTTTTTTTCCTTCAACAACAAACGCATGTGGTTACATTTTGCCAACACATGTATGTGGTTGAATTTATATTAGGCAACAGAAGCACGTGGTTGGGTTTAGGGGAAAAGAATAGGGTTTGGCTTTACAGTCTTACAGGAAGTGAACACTGGCCTCCAGCGGGAAAGTGGGTGGTTGTTGGACTCATCCTCCACCCCTCCCAACCACCCTACTTGGACTTTCCCCCCTTAACTTACACTGTTATCCCACCGCGCTTCACACGGGAACTGCCCATTGGTTCGACAGCCCATTGGTCCGACATCCCATTGTTCCGACCATATTAAACCCATTGTTCCGAAGTCCGTTCCGAAATCATCATGATGCCCTGTGGTTAAGNGTTCGACAGCCCATTGGTCCGACATCCCATTGTTCCGACCATATTAAACCCATTGTTCCGAAGTCCGTTCCGAAATCATCATGATGCCCTGTGGTTAAGGTCTGGTTAGGTTTAGGCACAAAAACCACTTGGTTAGGGTTAGGAAAAGATCATGGTGTGGGTTAAAATGAAAAAAAAAGTGACAAACACATAAGCTGTGAGCCTGCTTCGCCTCAAGCCTTTCCCAGCTGGCCCAGAGCCGGTCGCGGCGCACCATCAAGGCAGAAATACGCCCACCGGGGGCCGTTCAGCACTGCGGACCATCGGACTAATGGGATGTCGGACCAATGACATGGACCCCTTCACACTAATGCCGCTGGGCGCTATTAAACAATAAGAGTGACTGGATGTGTATCATGCCGGCATGAAAGGACAGCTTTCCTCATTGTTGTCTGACACCATAAGTCACTAACCAAGTGCCAGTATTTGATGAGATCAGGTTGATTCAGCAGCATTTTACATCCTAAAAACCTGAAAATAATAGATCAACAAAGTCTAACAATAAAAAGCCAATTTTCACCAATAAAATGATGAATATATCCGTCCAATGTGTAGTTTAGGCCCTTTTGGTTACTTCTCAATGACATCTGATCATTATGTCCCCAGAAATCATCAACTGCCTCACGCAAAATGCCGTGTACTGTGACACCTGCCATAGCGCTGGTCACTGAATGTTGATAGTTTGTCCGAGTGAGTGGAGGGGGGCGTGGCTTAGCCATAGGTCAATTGCTTCTTCAGTCCACTATATACATTTTGCTGCAATATAAATGACTGAAGTGTGATGAACAGATTGAAAACGTTATCATATTAGATAAAACAGATGTTGACAATTTTTTTTCCTGGGAATATAATTTGCAGTTTCAAGGTTCCGTGTGTTAGATTTAGGGGGATATTAGTGGTATCTAACAATGAGGATTGCAGAATGTAACCAGATGGAACTTCCCCTGGTTAGAATTCCTTCAGTGTTCATTGTTCAGGAGGTTTTTAACAAGAACCGAATCATCCACAAAGGCCTCTTCCTCTCAAAAACAAATGGACCAGGTGATTAAAACCAGTAAAAACACTGAATAAAGCAGTTTCACTCAACAAATCAGTGTTTCTCTGATGCTGTTTAGCACACTGCAGATGGGCCCTACCTGTGTGTGCTAACCTTTTTTCTCTGGTAACTTCAGATTCAGACATTCAGGGGATTTGAACCAGAAGCCAAATTATCTGCAGAGGTCAGAATTACCATCTTGTAGTTGTATGCCTTCAGACACCAGTCAAGTTACAGGTACAGTTTACATCCATGTCTAAGAAAACATGGATGCTTCACACACATCTTCCCTCCAACAGCACAGAGCAAAACAATCAGCATAGTTTCAAGATGGAGACCCAAGATTAGTGACACCAATTCAGTACCAGACCAAATGTCTCCCCTTCTGTTCCTTAGAGATGACATTGAGTAATGGCCAGGAAAGGGTTTTTGCAGAACATTATGATGCCACAGTGAAGTTGACCTTTTGATCATCATCTTATCCTATCAAACATTTGTGTGAAATTTTGTCATAATTAGTGTATGAATTCTTGAGCCAAAAGCATGTTTTGTGAGGGCAGTGACCTTGACCCGCAAATTCTCGTCATTTCATTTTTGAGTCAGAGTGGGCATTTGTGCCAAATTAGAGGAAACTATCTTAAGACCTTCTTGAGATAATGTGTTCACACATGAGACTAATGCAAGGTCAAAGTGACCTTGACCTTGAACACTGAAAAAAGCCATTTTGCAAAAAAAATTAAAAAATAACAGTGTTCATTCGATGCTGTTTGTTGCGGGAGGACTGCTCATTACGTTGGCCGGTGCCAAAACGCAAATGGCCCTGTGTAGAGTCAGTGTTTGGTTTGTCCATTCTTGGCTACTGTAGAAACATAGCAGTGCAACGTAGCGGACTCCCTCCCTGTCTACATACATAATATCGTATCATGGGGCCTCTGCTGATTTCCAATAGCTTCCTGTCCAGCTATGATTAATAGAGTAACAGCCAGCCCAGTACCAGAAAACCGCCCTGAGATCAGTTCCTGTAACTCCAGTGTCACTGTAACTAGTCTCAATGGATGCTCTGCTGGGACGGAGATGAATGGTAATGACCTTTGGTTCTTGCTGCGCTGACATTTGCAGCTAATTTACACATTTTATATTTGAGATATTTAGCTCATGTTCCTATTCAGAGAGAATTACAATGCTAGATTTCGCTTCAGTTCCAACAGGACGAATGTATTTCCTTTCCTGTTGTTGGTAATTGTGATGTCTGATCTGTTTCTAGCGCAACCCTTGTGCCGTTTGAGTTCACGGAATGTGAATTTGACCGATGGATGCCCTCGGAGGGGGTTTGCTACTCATAATATTTCCTCTGGCAGTGCTCTGACTTGGGAAACAGAAGAGTGATGTGTTGGCATGGGGTGGGGCTCTCTGTCTTTGGTGAGTTCACACAGCGCAGAGCAGAACAGCACCACAGGCAGACCTCGTATCAATATCTGCAAATCCTGTCTGACAGAATAAGCCGATGAGATGCACTGACACGGCAGCCTGATCCCACAATCATTTACAGAATGTAAATAGGACGCGATCATCTAGTCGACCTGTCAGGGACCAGCCTCATCACACCTGCATCTGCATATTCATCCGACTTGTAACAGCTGAGCGATCACATCCTTCCTTTTTTATGTGGTATTAGTTTCTGTCAGCTTCAAAATACAGAGATCAAAACCTGTGATATTTTATGTGAGGGTTAAAAACAGAAAAGTGTGGGAAACTGCTTTCAGGTAATACTTGGCCCATTTATAGTTTTGGAACGGTAATCCTGAGAAAAGGCACTCAGATGGAAAAAAACAAGAGCAGTCCACAATAAGTAAAGAGAGTCACTTAAGCAGTGCGCACAGGCCTGCTGTTATCCAACCACACCTGTGTTAAACATACATGAGAGAAACTGAGCACATGCAAAATCAGATCAGTTTCTGTGCGGAATGTGATCTAAGCCCAGTGTTGTCTTCACTGAAGCATGATAATCACACACTTAAAGCTACAGTATACAGAGCTTAAAGTAAGGAACATTTCTGTGCCTGAAATATGTTCTGGGGTTAGGAGAAAGAATGGAAGGAAAGAGAGGATCATGAGAAGGAGGAATTCCCACTTACTCAGTTGACAGCTATTTCAGATTTAGTCTTAAAATGCTTATTAGTTTTAGTCACATTTTAGTCATTTTTATTTTTCATGGTTTTAGTCTATGAAAATTCAAAACATTTTAGTCAGTGAAAATTCATGACATTCATCGTAAAGCCACATTCAACTATTAGTTATTTTGTTTTCTATATGTTTTTTTGTTTTTATCTTAATCAACTGAAGGTAATTCATGTACCAGATATCAGAATCAAGGTGACAGGTTGTATAGAATTTCATTTAGACAACTAGGATTTGTACCCAGTTAA